CCTTAATCTGAATGCTTCATTCCGGTGAGGGTCAGATGGTTACTAAAGTTTTGATAACATCTCCAGGCGTTTGGGTTGTTTTAAAGCACTTTCACAGCAGAGATCCCTTTTGATCCTCCCAGCAGCAGCATTGTGCGGGCTCAGCAGGCCTCAGTCTCTTCTGTTGCATAGGGGAAGAAAGTGTGATCTGAAAGGTCAAGTGGCTTGAGTGGGGGTGGGAGGGGTGTCCCAGTGACAGGGCAGACCCAGGGCTTCTGGCCCCTAGCCCAGGGCTCTTGTATTACCAGGTTCTTTGCATACTCCCCCGGGGCCTGCCTCCCCAGGGCCTCTCCATCTTGTAAGAAGGCATTATGTGTGCTGCAGAATGTTTTTGTTCCCCCCGCCCAAATTTCTATGTTGATGATGATATTAGGAGGTGGGGCCTTTGGGAGGCCCTAAGGGTGGAGCCCTCATCAAAGAGGACTGGTGTCCTTATAAAAGGAGACCCCAGTGAGCTCTCTCACCCCTTCCACCACAGAGGGCACAGTGAGTGGACCCCGCCTATGAACCGGGAAGCTCACACCAGACACTGAGTCTCCTTGATCTTGGACTTCCCAGCTTCCAGAACTGTGAGAAATAAGTATCTATTATTTATAAGTGCCCCCCCCCCCACCAGCCTGTGGTATTTTGTTCTAGCAGCTCTCCTGGACTGAGACAGTGTCCAGTAAGCAGACCTTGCTCTGCTAACCCCAGAGCTCCCAGTCCTCGCTGTCAGGGACAAGGGAAGTTTCAGTTCACATCGTGCTCTACACCCTTTGGACACCTGCCTTCCTCCTGAGCCGCCTCCTCCTCAGTAGGAATGAAGCTGTCATCGGCATTGTGCCACGCATGCCGTGTCGTGACCATCAGAGGTTTTGCGGATCAAACACCGGTTACTACACATCATACAGCTGGGTCTGCTCCCCACCAACACTGACCCCAGTCAGTCCCTCTGCACCCCTGCACCACCTCTGCCAGGGCCGGCATGTGACGCCAGCGCTGTTCTTGCTTCCCTGTCTCTACAGACCTATGTGTCCCAGTGGCCCTGGACGCTTCTGCTCCTGGCTGTCAGTGGCTTCTGTAACTTCGCCCAGAATGTCATCGCATTCAGCATCCTCAACCTCATCAGCCCTCTGAGCTACTCTGTCGCCAATGCTACGAAGAGAATCATGGTCATCACGGTGTCCCTGATCATGCTGCAAAACCCAGTCACCAGCACCAATGTCCTGGGCATGATGACAGCCATCCTGGGGGTCTTTCTGTACAACAAAGTGAGTCTGGGGTGGGGGAGGCTGTCCCCTCGAGGCCCAGGGAGGCACCAACAGGTGGTGGGGGGAGAAGAAAGGGACCTCAGCAGGAGCTAAGAGGCTGGGGCCACAGCTCCAGCTTTATCACGGACTGGTTTATGGTGTTGATGTGGTCCTACCTGGCCCGGCCTTCCTTTTCCCATGTCATACTCCAGCCATGGCTCGTGGCTCTTGGGTCCACGGAGGCTCTGTCAGGGATTTCACTGTCTCGAGAAAGCTCTGTTTGGTCCAGTGCAAAGACATGGGTGGCTAACAGGGAGGGCCAGCCATGCGTGAGGCCTGTCTGCATCAGTGCTTCAGTGGGTCTCGAAGGGCTGCTCAGCTGTGAATTGCTCGCCTCTGCCCTGTGCACGGGCCCCGGGGAAGGAGCCAGCTGTCTCACTGCTCTCTTGACCTTGCAGACCAAGTACGATGCCAATCAGCAAGCCCGGAAGCACCTCCTCCCAGTCACCACGGGGGACCTGAGCAGTAAGGAGCACCATCGGAGCCCCCTGGAAAAACCCCACAATGGCATCCTCTTTCCCCAGCACGAGGACTATCAGTATGGTCGCAACAACATCTTAACAGATCACTTCCAGTACAGCCGGCAGAGTTACCCAAACGCCTACAGTTTGAACCGTTACGACGTGTAGTCTAGAGGGCGGGGCGGTACCATTGTGTCACCCCTTCCCCCCCACTCCCTAGCAGTACCAGAAACTTCTGACAACCAGTGAATGTACAACCCGGCCGAGGGGACAGTGCATAACCATCAGCAGACCCCGGGCTTCCCAGGCCCCTGGGGGCGGCAGGACGTTGCCCCGCAGTAAGGACCACTGCCCTCGAGCTCCGGTGTTCCAGGCCCTTTCTTCCTGGAGTCTGTCATCTGAGGGCTGTGTTGGTATGGCGATCTTGGCCAGGTTTTTACCCTTCTTTGTGGACTAATTCCCCAAGTCATGTATTTGAGAGTTCTTGTTCTGCTTTCCAGATAGTATTTCCAGATAACTCTCCGGAAAGGCCAGACCGCTGTGGATGCAGACCTCCGAGCAGGCCACAGGGTTCCCTGGGTGCCAAGGAAGGGACTTGTAGGGTGGTGCTTGAGAGTGACAGACTAGCCTCTTTCATTCCGCTGCTCAGGTAGGTCGACGGGCTGAGGCAGGCATGGAGCAGAGGAGCGCTAGTTTCTCAAAAGCATCTCTGACAACAAAGATAGACCGGAACAAAGTTTCCAGTCAACCCCATGGCCATCTGCAGTTACTGACAAATGTCCCAAAGAGAAAAGCTCCTGCAATTAGCCTTGAATTCTTGGAGCCTACTTCTCTAACCTGCACGTCAGAGCTGGTGTGTGTCCAGACCCAGAGGTAGGGCAGTTGCACTCCTGTGCCCTCGCTTCCCTTGCCAGAGGAACAGGACGGCTTTCCTCTCTGGGGATAGCGAGGAAGAAGTGACTGCGTGGCTGTCGAGAGGAGCATTAGGAAATTGTGTCAGTGTTCTGAGCTCTATTTCTGTAATACTTATCTTTTCTGATGAGTCTTCACCACTTCTGTGATGACTTAGTAGGATGTTTGGTGGGGAGATGTTCATTTCATGAGGATCTTGCATTTTTCTAGGGAGTATTTTGTAGTTGTATTTATGCCTCGGTCCCCTGTGGGGGGGGGGGCGCATGAGGGAGGACTGGCTTATGGATTGAAAACCCTTTTGTTCTTAAAATGTTTAAAAACAAGAAAAGCTCCCTACTGGTGACGCTTGTCTTGATACATTTCAGCCTTAGTAGGAAGCGATGAAGTGTTTTCGAGCTCCTCTCTAATGGCCCCAGCTGCTGAAAGCGGAGTGAATCAAGAACATCATCTCAGTAGGTTGTGTAATAGACAAGACCACAGCACTTTGATTCCATGACCTGATCTGGTGGTGTTTGCGTTAGGATCTGAATCATGTCCTGGTGAAGGGGAGAAGGGGTGAGCACCAAGCTGTGGTTTGGGTTTGGATAAATCAGATGAGGAAAATTACGTGGCCCCAGCAGGTAGCCCATGTGCTGAGGTTCAGGTGAGGGTCTCCAACTTCCCCAGCATCACAAGAGGACCCTGCCCTCACAGAGAGGACCACTGGCTCTGCTGGTGGGGTCTTCGGTGACGTCTGCCTTCCTCCTTCAGCACTGTGCCCTACCTCTTGAATAGGCATTTGGAGGGAGCAGCAGATGGGACAGTGGGTCACCCTTTACCTCCTGGTGAGTGAGGCATTTTCCCGTCCGAGGAAGTACCATAGCTTATGATTGACTCCTGGTTTTTGTTACTTTGTCAGCTTATGAATGGGCTGTTCCTGGAGAGGTCACCTGGTCCCCTTCTGGCCTGAGTTTATGCACCACCGGCCTCAGGTCCCTGTGCCATTCATTTGCTTTATAATTACTTTGGTCCCAAGTTTTGAGACAGTTGCTGTGTAAATGGGAAGGAGAAATCCCGAAGGGGATTTGGGAAAAGAGCTTGCTGAGTGCCTCCACCAGAGGCACTGTGGTCCGTAGCTGACTTTTCTCACTGGGGAATGGCAACAAATGGGGATAATTTTGCACCACAAAGATATTACAGTAGTTGTCTTTGTGATTATAGTAACTGATTCCTTGGACAGATAATTGAACTCCAAAATGAATTCACATGTCTTTTCAGGTTTAATGAAATTTCTGATGTTGCTAAAATTTGTATATTAATTTGTTTCCCTTTTCCAATGCAAGATCTGCTGGCGAGGGGAAATGACTGGTTTTATTACGGTTTGTAAATGAATAAATGGGGTATTTAATTCTGTACATAAATCTACAGCAAGTACATACACTGGAATGAATGAGACAATCATTATTAGACCAAATCATCAGATCAAAAGACAAAGACATACTTTTGAGACTTGAAGGTTCAGAGCTGACACTGAACTCCTGAAAGCCAGTTTTCCAGCCGCTTTGATCCTGGCCCGCCACCCCCGCCCCACTCCCACATTCACATTTGCAGCTCTGTTCCCCTCACCCTCCCTCCTGCTGGGGTTTGTGGTAGCAAATTAGTCTACCCATCCATGGTATGGTCTTGCCTGCGATACTAACTCGAACCCAACTCCTTCATTTTACAGAAGGGGAAACTGAGGCTCAGAGGGCATTTCTGAATAGTGTTTGTTCACTATTTGAGACTCAGTGTGGACTTTTTAAGCACCTTATTTTAAGTCATTCGTTACAGGGAGAAGTCAAACCCCTTTTACAAAGGAGAGAAGCCAAGTATGTTGAAGTGAAGAAGCACTTGGGATTTCCGAATTTTGCTGTGTTTTTGGCATACATTATAGAACAGGCCCTTTATTATTGCTGGGACATAACCAGGCCCGGATACCTTAAGGTCTCACAGCCTTAAGGGGACAGAACATTAAATTATTCAAGGAACTGAAAATTGTGAATTCTTTTTTTCAACTGTCACCTGTTTTCAAGACTTAAATGCTATAGACTTTTGTAGGAATGATACTGTATGAGTACTCATTGATGGCATTTACCAAAAATAAACGATGGTCTCCAGGGAATCACGATTGGTCTTAATTAACATGAGGATAGAAAGAGCAAACCAACTTGATTCTCACATCAGAGTAAACTGCAACCTTTTATTTTTTTCCAGAGCCAAAAATTAGGACGTGTGGTTTGTAAATTTATGACATGGTAGAATAAAACTAGAATCACAACTCAGCAGTTAATGACATGCCTTTATTGAACAGAATAACACGGGAAACCCAAGAAGGTTCAGCAGCTATGCTTGAGGAATACTAGCTAATACTGAGGACCTACTGCAGGCCCAACACACTGGGGGGGTTTCTCACACACAGTCATTATAATCCCTTTGCTTAAGCTTTATTAACCTTACTTTACAGCTGAAAACAAGGCTCATGGGGGGGGGGTGTCACTTGCCTGGACTCACCCAGTAAGTCTGCCTCCAGAGCCCGTTTCCCCCTCCATGTGACTCAGAAACCAGGTCCCAACAGAACTTCCTTCAGTAGCAGTTGAAGGGTAGGAGTTTCTGCTAAAACAACTGCCCATACCCTCTTAATTCATAATCCTTCTGTTCAATCATTTACTGACATTTAATATGTTTCAAGTACAGGAAACTGAAATACCTAAGCCTCAGAGCACACTTGGCTTCATTTAGAGATGTGTAACTAAGTAAGTGGTATATAGGTGCTATATTGGAGGTATGTGAAAAATGCTAAGGAAAGTCCAGAGGGGAGCAGAATGTTTTGATTTGCACTTAGGATTCTCAGGATATTTTATCTGCGTATTTGGTATTATATACATCTCATTTAACCATCAGCACCTGAGATATTCGCCCCATTCTAGAGGGAAACGGGAATAAGGTCCCGCTCGGCCCATGGAGCAAGGCTGGAATCCAGGAGTGTCTGAGCCCAAGCCAGGGCCCTTTGCCCTGCAAAGCAGCCAAGATAAAGTGAGCGGTTTTGTTTAGCCTCACCTTTGTCATATATTTGTATGTATCCTTTCATTTCAGTTGCCTGGGCCACACCACTACGGTTTAAGACCCTGAAGGAGCCACCCTGTCTGGGCGACCAGGTGGCTTTGTAGTCTGCCCTGCAGCTCCAACAAGTCAGAGCCTGTTCCTGCAGAGAGTAAGAGCTCGTGCTGCGTGTGGCCCCGTGGTTCAGACCCAGTCCCAACTCATACCTGGGAGTGTCCTCTCCAAGGACGGGAATACTCCTGTTTGTCTCCCCAGGGCAACTCCTGTGTGACCAGAGGCTTGCTCTGCGATGTGATCAGGCCTGAGAAATGGTGCTGCTCCAGGATGGAACAGGACCTTCTCTGTTCCCACATCATTCCTTCCGCCGTGCCTTCGGCTAGTTGACCACAGGGGGTTCTGTTACTGTAGGAACGAGGTGACAGTCACACCAAGCTTTGCCTTTATTGAGACTACAGGTCTGGATGGGCCTGGAGTTCCTTGTCACCCACGACTTCTTCTAATAACCTCTATTGACTATTTGTCAAATTTGAAAGTAACTGTTAAAGCTAAAAAGACATCTATACAGACATCAAAAAGAATGAGATAGATCTATGTACAGAGAGAACAATTTCCAAAATATATTGCTATATAAATGTGCTTGTGAATACAGTTTATTTCTAAAAGACACACAAAAGACTGGACACAGCAGTTGCCCCTGAGGATATATACACATTTTTTTCACAACTGGCATATGCATATTATTTTATGATCTACTTTAAAAAATGTGCCAAAAACATTTCCCCTTATTAAATACTCTCTCTTGATTTTGTGTGTCTGTGTACAGGATATTGTAGTAATCTACTGAAGGGATACGCTGTAATTAACCAACCCCTATTGCTGCACATTTAAACACCATTTTATGGGATAACTTTGCCATGCACAGTGTAGCCCATACTTCTGATTTGGGATAAATTTCTCACAGCATGTTTGCAGATCAAAGCGGGAATGTATATGGCTTTAAACTTCTTTCCATTTTGCCTCCTGAACTTCAGCAAGTTCATCCCATCTGGGAGAGTATATTTTATTTGTTTCCTTAAGAGTTGTGTTTCCAGGTTCTTAGAGACCATCTGTGCAGCAGTCTCTACTTTTAGCAGCTCTACTGCTTTCTTCAGACCAGTGGATTCTAATTTGGCCCACTAAAATGAGTCTGGGTGAGGCCACATGATACTTAAATGTTCAGTCTCAGATAAATGGTGTTTTGTCTCAGATAAATGGTGTTTTAAACATTAAGACATGAATATATAAAAGTGGTCATGGGTCTACAATCTTTTGAAGGGACAGTTGAGTACTATCAGTATTAAATGTGCACATCCTACACTAAGACTCTTTTAGTAGCGGCCAAAAAAAATGGAACCAACCCCAGAAACTCCACAGAGTCTGGCTTCGATGAATTACTGTACATCCACACCACACTGTCCTATGCAGTCATTAAAAATGACCACACAGATTCATTAACCTGTTTTGGCTCAAAGATCTTGTTAAGAATCTGAAAAATGCTATGTATCTTTAATTCACGAAAATACATACAGGTACAACAGTGTGCTATCTCTGAATTCCACCCAAGGCAGATCACAAATTAAAACCTCGATATAGATCTTTACTGGCTTGGAAAAATACCCACACTATCCAAATTACTGAGCTTTATACTAAACAGACCAATCCCACATGTTCCCTTTGCCTGGAGTATCACGTAGCTCGCCCCTGATTAGGATCTCAGTACAAACCTCACTTCCCAGGGGCAGACCCCACCCTCCTCCCTTATCAAAAACCTGTTTTCCTCAACACGGTTGTATTGACGTATTTGTTTACTGATTTACTGATTTCCACCCCCCACCCAAGACTAGAGGCTCAGGAGAGCAGAGTTCAGGCCCAACTCCATCACAAACCACACCCCGCCTGCTTTTTCTGTGAACCAAGAATAGTCTTTACTAGTGAACATTTGCAATCAATTAATGACAGGAAAAGACCAACTTAGAACCGCAAAACATTCCGTTCTTCTCCTTAGAAGACCTGTATTTTAAAAACTACTTACTAGTTTTGAATGCCACCAATAAAAAATATTAAGGGTATTTTTCTCTCCGGCTACGTAAGTACCTACATGATATACTCAATTTTGCCTCTTGGCCCACATGGCCTAAATATTTGCTATCTGGCCCTTTATAGAGCAAGTTTGTCCATTCCTGGCCTAAAGCATTATCTTACATACAGGAGGCAATCCATAAGCGTCAAATGAGTAAGTCTGGAGCCAAAAGAAAAAGAAAAAATATATCTGAAATATATGGACATTTATTTGCGTGGAAAAAACAGGGAGGTATAGCCAACCAAGGGTTAACAATGGCAATCTCAGGAAGGTCAGATTACGGGGATGTCCACAGTCTACGCTAACATTTACTGCTGCTTGCCATCGCTCTCTTTCCCCACCACGAGCACACGTTCGCTTTGTCATCATTTGAGAAGCAATGTGACTGCACCTCTGAGAAAGGCGAGCCGTGCGCTCTGGGCGCGCAGTCCAGAAGGCCGGGCACCCTCAGGTCGTGGGCGCTCATTCCACGCCGCTCAAATGACTGCACCGAAGCCCGGCGAGCCCCAAGGGGGACGCAGGGTGAGGCCGACAGGGATGGGGCGGTCCCCCGCCCCAAAGTCTTCCTTACCAAAGCGTTGGGTCGAGCGAAAGAAACTGAGCGGGAGGATCTTGAGAACCTCAATAGCCCAGTTCCATCCCCTCCACGCCCGTCGCCTCCCGGTTCTACTTCCCGGCGTCGCGGCCCGGGAGCCTCCCCGGACGCACCTCACCTCGTAGTCTTCTCACCGCAGCCCCGCGGGGAGGAACTCCCCAGAACTCTGGTCCAGCGGAGAACGCGGCTGCCAGGCCCTCCGGCTACGACGCGAGCCCGGGAGGACGCCGCGGCCGTGGCTAACGGTGATCTGCGCCGTTCCAGCCGTTCCGGGGCGTAGCGCGACAGCGGCCCACCCCGCGCAAGCGCGGGAAAGCCCCTGCGCGTGCGCATCGCTAGCCCCTACCGCGCGCCCGGCCTCGCGCGGCTTCTTCCCGCCGGTCTTCTGCCCTCACTTCCGCGGTTTCCCGGCGACGGCCGTAAGTGGAGGGCGGAAGCAGCCCGCGAGGCCAGCCGTAAACGGCTCCCTCGCGCCACTTCCGGCCGGCTTCCGCAGACGGGGCTGGTGGGCGATCGTGAGGCGCCGGAGGACGTTCCCTGCGGCCGGAGCCATGGAGATGCCTCTGCCGCCCGACGGTGAGGCCCAGCCTGGGCTCGGGGACCGTTTCTCTCTCCCTGGAATCCCTTCTTGGCCCTCCCCGCCTTCCGGGGTTTCCGGGCCTAGGAGGGGGCGGGGCTCGGCCTCCCGGGTTCGCCTGCGGCCTCTCCCGCGGGTCCCCGCATCCCCGGCGCGCGTGTGGCCCCTATCGGGACCCGTACAAGGGCGGCTTCTCTGGAGCCCAACCCTAGGGACCCCGGCCCGGCGGACGGGGGCTGGGACGCCAGGGCCCCCGGATTTGGGCGGTCCTCGCTGACGCCCCGCGTGGCCTTTTCTCCGTCCTCCAGACCAAGAGCTTCGAAATGTCATCGACAAGCTGGCCCAGTTCGTGGCTCGCAACGGGCCCGAGTTTGAGAAGATGACGATGGAGAAGCAAAAGGACAACCCGAAATTCTCGTTTCTGTTCGGAGGCGAGTTCTACAGTTACTACAAGTGCAAGCTAGCGCTGGAGCAGCAGCAGCGTGAGTTCTCTCCAGCTCTCAGGCCGTCCCTTCGAGCGATTCCTTTCTCCGACTCCAGTTCGGGCTCTGCCACAAACCGCCTTCTTGTGGGCCGCATGCTCTGTCTCTGAAAATGGGGCAGCTGGGCCTTCTTGATCCCTTCCGCTGTTCCCAGGGCCCTGCACCTAGCGGCTGCTGGGCCCGAGTGTAATGGAGAACGAGGTTATCGATCCTTCTCCTGGGCTCCGGATCAGGGATTTTTCTATTGTTTTTGCAGATGTGATGACTTAGGTCAGCAGAAGTAGAGTGGCTGTTTCGGTGTTTTCCAGGGTGGAAGTGAGAGAAGCTGGACCGGGACCCTCCTGGCAGGCACTGTCCAGCACCCATTGCGAGCTCTCTGTGTAGACGGTCTAGCAAGATTTTTGTGCATTTCAGGTGTTTGCAGTCCAGACCCAAAAGACTTGTTCTTTGGGTTTTAGTTTTTGTCAGATGTTTATCGATGTTCACCGGGTTGGGTATCAGGATGCCAGCCCTGCCCTCAAAGAGTTTAAGGTGGGTTTAGGAGTCACAGCTGGCCTTTGAATACTAGATAAATAGTCACCAGGTGGTGGGGTCCCTGAGGGCAGAGCCCACATCTGTCTTGTTCCCTACCACATTTCTAGATACAGTGTTCGAACCAATGAGCAGGGGGCTGCCAAGTAGATGGGCATTGAAAGGTGAATCTTTCCTAGACTACAAGCTCCCTGAGGCCAACCAGACCTTGTTTGGGTCATTGTTGTGCCCTACTACATGGGACTTAGTAAATGTTCACTAAAAAGTGTGTGAGAAACAGCAAAAGTGCCGTGGCTTGAATAAACACACTGTGTTTAGGGAGCGGTAAGAGAAATCATGAGAGACCCAGCACGGCTGGAGCACAGAACGTGTGTAGAGGGGCGAAGGGTTTGATCTGGAGTGGTAAATGCCGGGGAAAGTTCGGGTTTTCTAGGGGTTCGTCTGGTGCCCAGTTAGGTTTGAAATGGGGGTGGGGAAGATTTGCCTAAAACTGTAGGCAAATTGTTGAATGCACTTAAGTGCTTCTGGAGCAACCATTCCTTTGCCCCAGCATATCACTTTGAAAACTGCTGCTATAGGCGGTGGAAAGCCACAAGAAAGTTTGAAAGACAGAAGAGGTGGGTCAGGTTTGTGTGGCCAGTGTAGAGGGCAGGCTGGCGGGGGCGTGAGTGGAGGCTGCAGACTGGGGAGGTCTGCAGGTGAATGAACAGGGCAGTTGATGGTACGGTCTGAATTAGGTCAGCAGGTTGAGTAGGAGGGAGAGGGCATGGGGGCAAGTGGGGTTAAGGGGTAGAATTCACGAACTGGGGCATCAGTTGGATATTGATAAGGGTGGCATAACGCGGCAGAGGAGGACTTTGCCTCGCGTGACCGTGAGGTAAGACGCTGTTTTCCCTGCAAGGGGAGCCCGCTCCCTCCCTGGAGGGTCAGAAATCAGAGGCCACTTAGGACTTGGTACCGTAATGGGGGGAAGGATAGGGTGCTTCTAGCAGGGGGAGATGGGGGTTCCGGAAATGCCTTCTGCAGGCAACAACGTTTCAGCTGAGATTCAAGAATGTGTCAGAGTTAACCAGATGGAAACAAAGAAGAGAAAAGTGTTCCGGCAGAGGAGAGAGCCTTGAGCTGGGAGTGGAGGGGGCAGTAGCTCAGAGTGGCTAAAGCCCAGAGAAAGGGGGTTGCTTGGAGTGGACAGAGGCCAGGGTGCAGAGGAGGGACGGCTGGCTGGCCAAGGACTTAGGAATTCTCCCGGAAGCTTTGGGGAGGTCTTGGAGGATTTCAGGACTGTGTTGTGGAGCAGGCTTAGCCACTGTGTAGCTGGCGCTGCACCTTGGTTATTTGAGAAGAGTGAGCCCCAAGGCTTTTCTAGAATGGCGCTTTGCAAAGTCCGGTGAAGGACTAGCTTATTTTTCGTTTTGTAGAACTTCCATCCTGTTGTGGAAAGTACGCTGTTGCAAAATACAATAAAATGTGATCTGTGAAACATCGAGTTGCTATAAAGGTGCCAGAAGGATCCCTTGGCACGTTTATACTTGACTGGTCTGGGTTTCGCCCAGGGCCAGCCCTCAGACCCCAAATGAACAGCAGCCTCCGGCTGTGCTGTTGAGAAGTACAGGGGCAGGACCCGACGCAGGGAGATCAGTTCCAAGGGTGATGCAGGTGACAACAGAGTCACGGCAGGGACACAGGCTGGAGTGTCATCCAGGAGCCTGACTTCACTACACAGGGTGACTTGTTAGTGCGAGGTGCAAGGGAGAAAGAAGTGCCCGGGCCTTCTGGGCTTTGGGTGTGGGCATAGCCGTGCCAGCCACGGGGGCCAGGAGGGACCATGGGGCGGGGAGCAAGTGGCGAGAGGACACGCGGACCTGTGTGCTGTGCCTTTGGAAGGTCAGTGGGCTCTCTGGTCTGTGATCAGATCCGTCGTGCGAGGACTCCAGGAGATGGTAGAGGAAGGAGCGTGGCTCGCACACACAGTAACTGCCACCTTGAAGCTCCTGTGTCCCACTGCCCTGTGGGCTGGCCCAGGGGAGAGGGCAGATCAGGCATCCCCGCATTCAGGGGTTCGGCAGAGGAAGACAAAGGGGCCTGGGGGTGGCCACACAGGCCACGTGAGACAAGGACCTGAGACGGGGCCACGGGGCTGAGGAAGGATGTCCACAGCGGCCCGGGGTGGGGATGCACAGCCAGACGGCCATGGGGCGACGTAAACGGGAGCTGAAGGATTGAAGATGAGTCTCAGCTATAAGACCGTTGCCAGAGGGCCGTGGGGCAAAGGGAGAGTTTTTACAGACGGAAGCTGCTGAGGAGGTGGCAGGGACGGGATACGAGAGACACCCTTGGGGAGGGCCGTTTGTCCGCCAGTGGCCATGGTCTGGGTTCCGCAGAGGCTCCGGCCTGGGTGAGGGGTGGAGGGGGATGGGCTTGGTCTCAGCTGGAAGGCCCCTGGGCCAGGCCAGATGGCGGGCAAGAGAGGGGCAAGGTGACGTCCCACCGGAAAGGGTCCAGGGCTTGGGCCCTGTGAGTGGGGGGCCAGGTGCAGAGCAAGGGGGCTGCAGTGCGGCACAGGGGTCCTCTTGTGGGTGGTGAGGATCGGCAGGGGCAGTCCCTGTGGCTTGGAGCTGCGAGCTGCCTGAGCAGCAGCCGAGGGGCCACCTCCTCATGGGGGCCGCCTTTCCTCCTCTCCTGCCAGTCATCTGCAAGCAGCAGGCCCCGGAGCTGGAGCCGGCCGCGGCGCTGCCTCCCCTGCCGCAGCCCCCGCTGGCCCCGGCTGCGCCCATCCCACCAGCCCAGGGAGCCCCATCCATGGACGAGCTCATCCAGCAGAGCCAGTGGAACCTGCAGCAGCAGGAGCAGCACCTGTTAGCCCTCAGACAGGTATGGGCCCGCTCCTCTTCCCCGCTGCCTCCTGCTTCCCCTCCCCGCTTCCCCTCCCCACTCCCCCTCCGGGTCCTGAGCTGGCTACCTGCTCAGCCTGCGCCTGCCTCGTAAGTCAGGAGAGCTCCTCACCAAGTTCCTCACCACTCGTCAGCACAGAGGACGGGGCTGCCACCACGTGTGGTGTGTTAGCTTGACCCCTGACGCTGGGCACGGGGTGCTGCTGCTTGTGGGTGAAATCATGCCACAAGCTCTTTGATGCACGACACCCCTTGTGCGGGGATGGACGCCCACGGGGGGGGGCGGGGGGCGGCACACGTTAGAAACCGTGTAACAGTGAAGGCCAGGTGGCCTCTGGTGCCCTTGGCTCCTGTTCCTCGCTAGGTCGCCCCAGGCTGTCGTGGGGAAGGACCCTTTTGTCCTGGTTTGTCATCGTCTGAGTTTTTGGCCGAGTGCAACAGGACGAATTGCCAGAAAAACAAAACGATTGACCTCTGAAACACTAGCCGTGCTTTTATTACTGGATATAGATGTAAAATTACCGCGATTTTGCTGAAAACAAAACCTTCTAGAAGGCTCCCTGTCCGTTTCCCCCTCCGTTTCCACACAGAGCTCGTGAGGGACCGGGTGGCCTGACGGCCACTTCCCAGTACGCAGATCTAGTGCGGGGCCCCACGTCCCATTGCAATTCCCTTGTCCCTGACGGCTGGTGCGGTGGCTCTCCTTTCCCTTGACCGGGGACGGACTGGGTGTCCCCTCAGAGATGTCGTCTGTCCACACCTATTCCTCGGTTTCCTTTTTTGTTG